TGGGGCCCACATTCTGTCTCTTGAATTTCTTTCATTTCCATTGTTTAGTTGTTCTCTATACCGGTCTGAGATTCTGCACTTCAAGTCAGAATCTGAAAATGCAGGCCAATGTACTCCGGGTCCAGAGCACCACCCTTTTTAGAACCCACCGCATCCATTCTGATTGGCCACACAGCCTTACTCTAAGAGGAATCAATCTAAGCATACTCGAAGTAGCCAGTTCTAGTACTTTTTACAGGGCATTTGTTGAGGGGATTTGTATGATACTGGGAACAAGGCGAAACTTTTGTTCTCTAAGTAGAATTGGACATAATTGGGCTCCGACCCATTAATAGTTAATTAAGCCATGTATTTAAATGCATGGATAATTCTATTGACTTTTCAATGCTAGGATTGATCACCAGCTTGATTCCGGTTTTACAGAAATGGATTCTACATTTTCATACAACATTAAAAAAAAATTGACAAATATTCTACAAGGGTGGTTAGTAATGTTCTTCTTTTGTAAGCTGCTTTTTGTAGTGAGAGACTTTTTTTATGACCGTTTCACGATTATACTCGGTTTCTGTTTGCTGTTTAATATCAGCATATACTATTGCTTCTATTTTAAGTCGATTATGAAGTTATCAAAGTCTTTTTGTTACATGAATTTGATGCGGACATTCCACCTTATTAAACATTACCATATACTGGTCAAACCATTATTTCAATCCTTTCAGTGTGTCCTTTTCCTGCCTTCCAATATACTTTTCTCTCGAATTATCTGCACTAAAAAAGTGTTTGTCTATTTATACCAGCAATCATAGAGAGGATTTAAGCCCAGAAAAATAGTCACCACAGAAAAGCCTTTTTTAAGATCTATATTTTTTTGTCTTCCAATGACAGACAACAGGACAAAGACCTCCTGCAAATTCTATTTTGCTCCTGTTTGTGAAGTAAGGCTCTGTGTTTCGTTTTTTCTGCTGTAAAGTACATGTTGACGTATCACCAGTGACACAATTGCTATATTTAAGCAGTTTTCCTTTTTCTCAATTTGGCCCATACATATCTCCATATAAAAACTATTTTATGTATTATCATATTGCCTATTTCCTAAAATTCTTGGCAGGAACTTCCATAGAATAGAGATTTATGGTTGGTCTGTTCTGACTGCTAAACTGAGGAACCAAAAGCAACTGATAAACTAAAAGTAATTGATTGGGTATTGATTCACAGTGTGTGCAAACCTCATTTGTTTAAAGCAAACCTGTGGTGAAGATCTACCCAACAGCTTTGCAGCAGGGACCCCAGGCTACTTTAGGTGTCTTTGGAGCACCGTGGGAGCCCTGAAATCTGACACCCTCAATATGTACAAATCCTAAGTTCAGTTTCTAAACCGATCTTGGGCCTATACTTCCCAGGCCTCACTATTTGTCAGTTAGGGTGTCTATCATAATTATTGAGCCCAATTTCATCTGTACAAGGAAATGTTATTTGCATCTTTTGAGTCCCTCAAGTTTCGGTGCCCCCAGGATGCTTTGAACACAACTAACGGTTCGTAGAGGTACCTCTGGGTGTTTGCATTTATTGCATTCTGTCATATTATGTGGTAGAGCTTTAATATAGATTTGCTTAGCCATATACAAGCTCATATTTCAGGCACTGTGGATGGTTTGGGGTGGAAGTGAATAGTCCATATAGTTGAATAAATATATTTGTTGTTGTTTTTTTTGCTTGTATTCGTACATAAAAATCAAATGCTGCCAGATAAAAAATAAATAAATTAGGGCTGTTATATCAACCATTTAAAATGTAACTGTTTTAGGCAAAGATCTGTGTGACCTATCCACACTTCCTAATAACAGACAGCCATGTTTTAGTCGATGATCAAAGGCTGCAACTGTAGAAATATGATATTAATAGACAAGAAAAAACAGTACAGATTAGGGCTGCAGCTAACTATTATTTTCATAATCGATTAGTTGCCCGATTTATTTTTTCAACTAATCAATTGGTTGCATTAAAAAGAATCTGTCTCTCTCTCTCTCTCTCTCTCTCTCTCTCTCTCTCTCTCTCTCTCTCTCTCTCTCTCTCTCTCTCTCTCTCTCTCTCTCTCTCTCTCTCTCTCTCTCTCTCTCTCTCTCTCTCTCTCTCTCTCTCTCTCTCTCTCTCTCTCATAATCGATTGAATCGATTAGTTGTTGCAGCCCTAGTACAGATAGATAGTGGCCATTATAGCTGCCTGAGACTACACTGTACTCTAAATTGTAAATACAGTTGTATACATTGTAAATTATATACTTTTGAACATGTAAAATATATAAACTGCATACACAAATGTTTTTTGATTGATGATTTACTAAAGAAGTAGAATTTTTACTAAGCCCAGTAAAACAGTGTACTGTTCTAACACACAAGGAAGTTACTATCAACGCTACATTATTTTGTCTGGCAGTATGTCTAATTACGCAATGGTTTGCCAACTACTTTCTTGTTTGGACTGTTGCAGCTTGTATGGACCTGAATATCAGGTTTGCTGTTTAAATGCGGAATGAATTATAATGGACACAGCTTGTATTGAATAGAATATTTAAAATGTATCTAAAGCCAAGCACAAACAATGAATATGTGGCAGCATACCATTCCTTAGATGTGGTGACTGCATTTTATTCCAGCTTTTTTCTTTATTTAGACCTAGTGTCATTACCAAGAACACACTTTCTGTTCTAGGGTGACAACACTCATTGACTGTGTTCTACGGGGGAGCAGTGTTGTCACCCTAGGAAGTGTGTTAGGACCAAAGAACACCTCCCTTTTACTCATCTACAAAGGTGTTTTGTAGTCTACAGAAGTGAACTGGGCAGGACGGTTAACACTGAGTGAGATTTCAATGCAGCAGAGGGAGAGAGCACATGATGTTATGAGCTTACTGGTTTTCTAGCAGGATCAACTTGTATTTTAAAGAACTAAAACATTCGTACTAAGTATGTGTTTTTAATTTTGCCCACATATACACTATAGACTTCCTTTGAACTTTCCCAGCACCGTGCAATTTCTGTGTTTAAAATGTTTTACTAGTGAGGTGCCGGTTACCATTGACATATACTGTATATATGTACATGTACAAGTTTGTGCCCATCCACTTGAGTAAAATTACTCCATATTTTATCTTCTGTGTAGGAACTAGTCAGAGTGGTTCATTGCTATATTTAAGAAGGTGGTCCCTTTTTTCCTAGGGCTATAAAATATTTTGTCTAATAAAGCTTTTTGAATTTTTTTTTTCATATCATCATTTTTGGTCTATACCCTAAGTTGTTTTTTTTGTCCCATAGTATTTTTTTTGTTTGAAGTCAGAGTGTTTTGAATTGATCCACAAAAACAACTAAAATTGCTTTGAAAGTCAGTTAGAAGCAGAAATACATTACCTCCCGTTTGAGCAATAAAAGTATGACAGGAGATCTAATCCTTCCACCATCTATCCTAAAATAAAAAAAAATCTTGGCTTTAAATGTACTTGAATGCAACACTAGAATCTTAACCTGACTACCCATACATATTCATTACTTAGTCACTGCTAAATTGATTTGGTAGGTTTCTGTCTTACTTCATTTAGTTTGGGTGTCTGATAGAAATAGGGCCTGTGTAAGTTTTTTTTAACAGATGAGTAATCCCTGGGAAACTGAAAATCCATAATTTATCAGTATACAAATAGTTTGTTAGGTTTCGTTATCCTAACATTTTTCATTAGATTATGCCTTTTAAGTTACCTCATTACTTTCCGTGTAGAATTTTAGCTCCAAGGGTGTGAGCAGCTCCCATCTATCCCTCTTTAGTAAGGACTCTCCCTCTTTTTTTTATCCAAAGTCTCTTTCCTTCACCATCTCTCTATTTTATATATGAAGAACTGTATAAATAAATGTACTGTTAACCATTCAGAAGTCTTTATATGGCTTCTATCTTTATGTCACAAGGAAGCTGACAGGATAGAAACATGGCAAAGGATGCATGATACACACAATTGTGTTCTATGTTATCTGTCTCTAAGTAGTAAAGGACTAATCAGAGACTGCATGAAAACCTGCCTATGTAGGCCAAAGCAACAGGTTTACTTCATGTATATTACATTTCTTTTGGTCTCTGCTGTAGTAAATAAAAATAGCTGCACTTTCAGGTATGGGAAACATGTATTTAATTTTCTGTTCTCCCACTTGTCAGCATTGGTGCTTGGTGATTTGCTCATTTTGGCACCCAGCGCTGTTAAATGGAGGTCTAGAGAGAGTTGCCAACTGTATGTAAGCTTTAAGTTGTGACTTCTACTCCTTGCTTCAGACAGCCATACTGAGCCATTTTTAATTTTTTTTTTTATTGTTTATCCGATTAACCGATTAATCGAACTTAATAATCGGCTAAGTAATCGATTTTGAAAATAATCGTTAGCTGCAGCTCTACAAAGAAGCAGGGAAGCAAAGGGAATGCAAGATGGAGCAGCAGTGGGGCCAAAATTAAAATTAAAGACCACCCTGTGATTTGTGTTTTGTAGCACTATATTTTTTTCTTATTTTGACCATTGTATGTATCTGTAAATGATTGAATGAAATTAATAAAAACATGCTTTATCAATGGATCATTGCTGAATGTTCTGGACCAGTAACATAGAAAGTATTAAAGTAATTGGCTCAGCAATGACAGCCTGGCAACAAGCATTTCCAGAAGCCTCCATAATTCTGGTTACATTTTGGTTAAATGTTTGAACCGATTAGATTAAAATGATTCTTTTTTTTTACTATCGGCATCCCATGCTTGTTTTTATGTATCTTTTCTGATACTGTTTTGATTTTTCTTGTAATTACTTGTGAAACATTTTGACTGTCCTTGGAGACTAAACTGATGTTGTATTTAGTAAACTTAATTAAGTTTCTCCAAGACGTAACAGCTGAAACTGACATTTAATTTAATTTTAGATGATATTTTGTGTTACAAAAATAAAATAGCAAACTAATTAAGTTTTATTTTACTCTGTAGTGTCCAAGACGAAGCAGAAGACTACACTGTGCACGGCCTCATAAAGAACCCTGATGTGTAAGTGATTCAGTAAATGTCAGTGTCCTTCAACGTCAATGAACGGCTTTACAATTGGCAACACAACTATGCTAATCCTTTCTATTTTATATATACATTCCAATCTGGATATGGTAATGATTGCAGAGCACCACGGTATATGCATGTCCAAGTGCAGCACCACTGTGAGTACAAAAAAAAAGGGAGTTGGGAGAAGGCAGATCCCTTCATGTTACTATATGGAGGGTTAGAGGCAGTTGAAAATATGTTTGTTACTTTTGCATACAAATGCCCCCTGCCCTTGGGCCTCTGCATGATCATATGACAAATACAGATATACAGTGGGTGGACAGGGTATCTTTCTAATCTCAACATAGTTTTTTTGCTAAATATTATCACTGATGATTTGCTTTAGTGTGGCCAATGTAGGAGCAGATGACTACATGCAACTGAGTGGTCTTCAGGATCTCCTCTTAGGCCACTGACGTTTTGTCAGTCTATATGACAAATGCTTGAATAGCCAGATAGTTTGCCTGGAGTATTTTAAATTACACTCTTCAAATTCAACTCCTAGTAGCCCACAGCAATTAATCCAAAACCAACTTCTGTTATTTAGACTATTATAAAGCACTAGAATCTGGAATCTTATTTGTTGTAAGGTGATGTTTTTGTTCTGTATTGAAAGTATAGCACATGCTACAGAAACATGCTACAGAAACAGGTAGTTCTTCAGCATACCAGTCCACTAGAATATTTGATGAGGTCTACAAATACATTTATCCATGGTTATAAACCATACACCAGCCAGAACAAGAAGCAACTAAAAGAAGCAGTACGAGATGGAAAAATATGGAGAGAACTGGCCCATAAAAATGCTGAGAGTCAGACACAACTGAACAGATAACACACACACACACACACCAGACAAATACTATAAATATATGTACATGTTTATTTGCCAAAACATAGGTAATTACGCATAGGTAACATAGGTAATTGCGCGTTTCACATATGACTACAAGAAAGGGTGGATGGTGGCCAGTTCACAAAGAAAATTGAGCACTATAATAGCTTAACACAAGAAATGAGGCTGGGCCCCTGTGCCATAGACAGTACGCACCAACATGCCCATGCCATGAACACCTCATCCCCCCTTCCCCAACATGTATAACTTTCCCTTGCACAGGGTGGCTGCTCCCCTCCAAGAGAAACTTTTTATCCACACACAAGTTAAAGGTGTTTGGATATGGCTAGTTTGGCCCTATGGGCCCCATGTAGCAAAGGTCCATTTGTTATACATCCATTTTAAATGACATCTGTAGGCCAAGCGTGGCTTCCACTAAGCCTGGCCAAAAGAGTAGCATTCTGATTGATTCACGCTATCCTGCATTAAAGCATAGCATGTTGAGCACACCCTCATCATCACAAGAAGAAGCATGGAATGAGTGCTCTCCCTTGTTTGTAAATCTGCACATGCGCAATCCCTCCCACGTCACAGCAGCGCTAATCTTGTTTGCTATCAATGCTACCATTTTATGTTTATTTTTATATGCAGTGAAAGAGCTGTGCTATGAATAGAGCCATTTTTAAAGAATGCATCCTAGATATTATCAATGTTCAGTGTATCGGTGAACTCTAGAGTCTTCTGTGATAGCTGGATCTGTTTCTGATTTACTGTGGTGCAGATCATAATAGTTCCGCCGTGAGACAGATGCTGTGATGATACCTTATCACTCAGCATTGCGTACTGAGAGATTGTCCTCAGGGAAAAGACACAGCTGTGATGGGAACATCAATGTTTGTATAGACTTTTGCTACAAATATATGGATTTTTTGTTTTCAGGTCCTAAACTCGATTTTCACTAACAGCATTTACTAGTGTCTTATTTTCTCTTGCAGAATCCTGTGTTGTCTAAACGAGCTGATGGATGAAGATGAGAAAGATAGAGCAAAGAGGTAACATCCTACATAGTAGTATAGTCTATATATGATGTTATTGGGGTGGCATGTGAGATTATATTAGTTATGATTTTAAAATCCTGGGTCTGGCAAATATTTGTATAATTATTATAGGTGTTCAGTAAAAGAATTCTCACCATAGTATGCATTACGTTGCAGTAGTTAGAATTAAAGCTCATCTCCAGCCAAACCTTATTTCCTTCTTGTCCATTGAGGGACACTGGAAGTCTTTTACCTTCAGGTTATACTGCTGCCTACAGGAGGACTGGTGAGACATGTTCTTATCATAGTTTTGTTATGAGATCCTCTTTATAACCTTGATGAAGGGAGACTCTTTGGGCCCAAAAACGAATTGACTTTTATTGAATGTAACTTGAAAAAAAATTAACTTCTGGGCATTACAAAACATGTCTGGCGCTTTCCTTACCATACTCCAGTCTATATGAGATATGTGCCATCCAACAGTTGTCACTGTTTAGAGAAGTGCTCTTTAGACACCAGACCTGAATTTTTTATTGGAGCAGCTATTGGAAAAAATGGTTCAGTATCCCACGTCTTCACGTGATTATGCAATAAAACCTTGAAGACTCTAACCCTTTCCCATTCTATTGAACGTTGAAAAAAAAACTGTTTGGCTGAAAATATTTTTTTAAATAAACCTAATGATATGGATTCTGCCATTCCTGACCTCCTTCTGAAGCTACTAGTTGCCTGGCTGTCTCTGGCTTTAGCACTTTTTGAGTCACTGACCAGCACCAAGCAAGCATATTATAAAGTCAGAACTGTGAAACTCTATACTTATTCCTGGCCTCTGCCCCAAAATGTATTTGTATGAGCAGGACAATGACCATGACAGCCAAGCAACTAGCTTATTTCTTGAAGTAGAGGTAATTACTGCCAATCTCTCAGTGCAGGTCTGCTTGTACTGTATACTGTATGTTTGTACTGTATATTGTGTATACCTGTATATCTAAACCCAAGAACAAAAATTGAATATATTGCCGTTTACAGTGTCCTTGTAACTTCCTGTGCACTAAAATATCAAGCAATCTTATCAGCAATTTAAGATCTCTTTCGAGAACTACAATACACCTTCTTCCTTGATAATGGTGATAATAAGATGGAGAGGTGTTTGTGGTTTAGGGTGACAATGTTGCTCCTCAGAAGATACAGTGAAATGAGTGACTGTTGTCAACAAAGGACAGGGAGTGTGTTACTAGCAGGACAACGGGTGAGAAAGGAAAAAAACCTAAAAAACAAAACGAATGTGACCAACACATATGGTAAGCTGCAATATATTACATTTGTGTTCTTGGGTTTAGATATGCTTAAAATGTATCCGTTATTTATTTCTTTGGATATATGAGAAATTTAAGTATCACCTTTTGTCCGTGTATATTTTGTATGATGGTTTTGCTGATCTGTAACTCCTGTGCCGTGGTATCATCTTATGAAGGTGTCCTGTCTCACCTTGAATCTTTTTTTCTTAACAAACAGCATAGGCAATGATTTAAAATGCAGTTTACAGCTTGATAAAAGCTTTACGCATGTGAAATTACAAAGAAATTCTAAAAAGTAAATATTTTAAGAAGAATTTGGGGATCTTTTTAACTCTTCCTACAAAAACAGCATAACCATTTTGAAACCCTCATTTAGCATTCCGGAATGGTGATCTCACATGATTCATTATTCACAGACATCGAGACTTCTATCCTGAGCTTTGCATGATTAACAATGATATCATCTTTAATTAAACTACAAGTGACTTTTAATGGTGTGACACCATCATCTTGAGAAAAGGAAGAGTCTCTTTTAACGATGTGCACTCTTCTTTAATGGTATATTAGATGTATGTTGTTTTTGTGAACTATGGTATAGCTTCTCAGGATTCCAGTCTACCTGTTCCACATATACCTACAGAAAATGTGCAACAGTGAACAAATCTTACAAGAAATTAATCAGTGTAAACACTTTTGTAACCAATGGATAAATATAAAAGAACTTTTCCCGAAATCAGTTTCACCCTGCCATTCCTCCATTGCAGTACGGAATAATGGAAAGTAATGTCTTGTTGCTATAGCCAAAAGGAGCTGTTCTTATCTCATACACTTTTTGCATGTGTATATATGTTACTGTGTACTGGGCCAGTGCTTTGGTCAGAAGTCTAAGTGGGTTGTGACCTTTCTAAATGGAAGCAATAGGACACATCGAGCCCCATTCTTTATAATCGGTTTGGTCATATTTGATACTTTCGACAACCCTAGTCCCTTTCTGGAACAGAAAATCAGTGTGAATGAACTACATTTAACTATTTTTTATTTACCTTGCTTTTTGTCAGTCTCACTAGTTAAGAAATTTCCATATGTACATACTATTAAGGCACAGACAAAACAAATGTCTTATAAGAATAGCCCCCTAAGATCAGAACTCCATTAATGAACCTGCATCTCTGACTTCAAGTGTGCTTATTTTCTCTGAATTAGTATATCACAAGGTCCCTATACCTGTCCGGTCTTGCTTTGTATTTGAGCATACCGGTCTGTAGTTGTAAAGGCTGTAAAAGCTTTATATAGTTATAATGCTTTTGATTAAAAGAGACAATGATTGTAGCAGGAAAAATATGATTAAAACTGAGACTGCAGGCCTTCACCAAGTCATTTCATGCATCTCCATCAAAGCATACCTGCTGGTTGCAATCATTGACATTTTCAGAAATCCACATAACTCACAAGACGTTGTTACGTCCAAACTGCATTATTCTATAATATGGGGTCATTATGTTCAGGTTATTGCTAAATTAGAATGTAATCTATTGTTGCTGCTACTGCACTACAACCAGAATGAGGATGACAGACTATCACCCTTGAGTTTCACTAGCAGACTACAATGAAATAATAATTTATTTGTTGGTATTTTCTGGGCCAAGTATAGAGCAGTTTAGACAGTTAGAGGTATACATCTAGGTTGAGTGTTCCACAGGTTTCCAAGGGCTCCTCATTTACTTTTGTATAACTGTATGTTTCTTTGAATTAGGGACAAATGTCAACTGCAATATGTGCTCTGTAAAGTCTTATGGTATTTGTCAGTGCTATAAAAAATATCCCTTAAAACCAGATTCATCAGGCCCATCATGGTTTTTCAGCACAAGCTTGCAGGCTGTTGCCAAGTTTCATGATACACATCATCACTCTTATGCTCCAGTACCTGAGCATCTGTATGACTGCAGTAAACGAAGACAGGAAGTGCTTGAATCATTGAACACTATGGGTGGGAATTTATCAAAGGAGCAGAGGAATCTGGAGCAATTGCCCATGGCAATCAATCAGCTTCTCTCTTCAGTCTGTTCAGTTACGATTTAAAAATAAAAGAGAGAAGCTGATTGGTTGCCATGCACAGCTGCACTAGTCTTGATAAATTCCCCTCTATGAATTTTCACAGGGTAACAACAATGATAGATATTTAACAGTTTAAATGTAACATTTCATGTTTCACTTTATGATGCCTTTAAGTAAGCTTTGTGATTTACAGAACATCAAAAGGTTATGCGGATTTGTATTGATAACTTGTTTTACACCCAGGGATAAAATTGAACTTATTAATTTATTTGTAATATCTCACCATAAGATACTTGTTCATTGTATGATAAAGAATGCTATAGATTCATAAAGGGAAAATAATTATGGGCAGGAATTTTATGCACTTGCAGAAGAGTAATGTTTTTTCTACTTGCGTTCCTGTAAACCCCTAATGAAATCTATCAGTTGAATGTATAAAGTATTATTTACTAGTATTGCTGTGTTGACTAAGTATATGTCAAAGACAACCTCTTATCATCTTTTTACTATGGAATATGGCCAAGGGGCAAATTACCTTTGTGAAGCATCCAATATTCATGTGTTGAAGGCTTGTGGATCTAATCCTACATTTCCATCTTTTCTTCATGCTAGGGCATCACGGAATAAATCTGAAAAGAAGAGAAGAGATCAGTTTAATGTTCTCATTAAGGAGCTGTGTACAATGCTGCAAGGGCACGGACACCCTCTTAAAATGGACAAGTCCACTATACTTCAAAGGACCATTGATTTCCTGCAGAAACAGAAAGGTAGAGTAAACTCTCCATTATCCAGAATTCAAGCAACCGGCACTCTCAAACAACCAGCAGTTGGCAGCTGAATGGGGAGCAATAGCCAGCCTGCTATTGGCTATTTCAAATTGCAGTAGCCAATAGCAGGCTGGCTATTGCACCCACCAACTGAGCCGAGAAGTGGACCTCACAGATAACTTTCTCTCTTGCTTAAGAGTTTCTATTAACTCTCAAGCAACTAGAAACTACAGTTATCCGACATCTACCAATCCCAGTGGGTGCCTGATAACTGGGACTTTACTGTATAGTGCACTGAATCTATGAAGACCATTTATAATGAAGTGTATACATTTTAGTAAGGTAAATTAAATTTTTTTGTTGTTGCAGAAATTACAGCACAGACAGACGCCTGTGAAATCAGGCAGGACTGGAAACCTTCTTTTCTTAGTAATGAAGAGTTTACCCAGTTGATGTTAGAGGTAAGAATGTTATGGCATATTCTTGCCATTATTTTAGGACTCCAAAAGTGCCATACATAGAGCTAGATTTTGTAATCTCTGCCCCCTAATGTCCAGAGTTGTGCTTTCATTCACATTCACGGTGCGGTGGTTTATCAGAACTGGGCTTTTTGTTTAGCCTTCCTTTGTCACTTCTTCAGTGATGTCTTAGTGATGGTGGAACCTTAGTATAATCCTTACTGTACTATCTTCTTGTAGCACACTGCTAGTATTGTAGGGTAATGACACATAAATAGAGGAAAGGTGAAGTAATTTAAGGCCATCCCATTCCAATTTGTTCCCTGGTCTTGACTTCTTCAAAAATATAAGAAAAATCTGCAATTGAAATGATAGGTTTTTTGGTTAATTAAAAAGAAAATTAAAATTGCTTTCCTATCCCGTTGTATAGTATACCGTCTACATGCTGAGCTCTGAGAACAGTTTTTTGTTAAGGAATAAGCGCACAGGCTGGGGTCCCAAAGGACAGTTCATGCAGACTTGACAAATAAAGCTATAAAAGAAGCTGAACACCTCTGGTTTTTACTTTTTGTTGCTTCTAGCTGACTTATGCAGCAACAGATTTTTCCTTACCAGAACAGCACTACCTGTCGTTGTTGCATGGGAGTGCTTTAGAGCTTGCAAGTGGGAGGGATCATATGGGGGGATGGGAACGTAAAGTAGTCATGTTAGTAAGGTATTGTCCTCCATCTCACTGAGAAAAACAGCTTCTTAAAGTGCACCTGTATCCAGAGTATGGGCATTAAACTGTTTACATATTTACATATCGTAAACAAGCAGCGGAAAATCCAGTCAAATTGGAGAAACCTTCTTGGGTGAAGGTCCTTGTGCAGGCTCAAAGATACTCTGAGCAGTTTGAAAGTAAAAGTAGATGATAAGACTGAGCTTCCTACCATTAACATACAATGCCTCCAAGCCTTTAACCAGGGACGTGCGGTCAGGTGAGGCAGAGCCTCGCCTAGTATTATGAAAGAAAAAGCTGTCAGGTTCAAGTCTGAAGCTGACAACTTTTTCTCCTTTCAGACTGGCTTCTAACACGTTAAGCAGCAGGGAAAGTCATGTACGGAGCGCTGCCTGTACAGGCGGTGCTTCATCCGGCTTGTGTAACCTAACATAGTGAGGCCAGAGCTACAACAGCTTCTTCTTGTTGTTGGAGTCTTCGGCTCTGTGGATGATTTGGATCAATGGCAAAGCGACATCAATCCATCAATGATCTCTGTGTGAAAGTGTAAAACCTGCTGGCATCCCACCAGCTTTTGACCAGCAGAGCTCATTCCCCTCATTCAAGTGACCATGTGGTGGACACAGCAGCTCCAAAGCTACTACCAAGCGCAAAGGTGCAAAGCATCTTGTGAAGCAATACAACCCAATTGTGGAAACCCATTGAAAAGCCATTCGTTTCCAAGATTAATTTTGAGTCACACTGGAAAAAAAGAATTATTCAGAGCAGTGGTGGCCTTAGAAATTATCAGCAGCTCTGCGGAAAAAGCCAATTAATGGTAGTGTGAGCAGTGCAACTCCCGCCAGCCAACGCAGGCAGGATGGATGTCAACATGTTTTCCATTTTCTAAGTGAAAGTGGAAAAAACACTAACATACTTTTATATGTGCCTTTCTAAATGTAATTTCCATCTCAGTTGTGCTATTCTAGTTTGCAGCACTGTTAATATATAGATCAATTATGTATGTTTCTCGCAGGTATGTTGTTGTTCAGAAGAGGCATCATTCAGTTTCATTATTTCTAGTGTCTAATGTCTAGTTAACTACAAAAACAAAGTAATAAATGCATGAATGTAAGACACAAATGTGTGTAGCGTCCCCCTCTTACTCCCTCCGCCTGTATTATCATCCTGGCTCCTCTCCCTGTACTGCCAATTTGCATGTATTAAAGATCATTGCCAGAACTTAGTCATCAGATTAATTTATTCGGAAGAACAATGAATGCAGTTCTGTGTAGATTCTGTATTTTTTTCTGTTTTTCCACTTGGGCAAGTGGAGGCACAATATGCCAAGAGTGAAGCACTTGTTTTCTTTTTGGAGCACTGAGTGGGTAGAATTGGCATAAGCAATGCTGCAATTATAGTGGTTATAGCGTAAGCATTTGAAGACGCTGTTCCTTTGGCACTGGTTGCCTGCAGGGGAGGACTAGCTTACCACCACCCTGGGAAAGAGGAAGGGAATGATGATGAGTACACCTGAGAATGCTGCACAACCTGGTCTGCGCTGTGGCTTTTTGAAAATGGCCAAGGCCAGCAGGACAGGAATGCCATCTTCAGCTTTACATAATCTGTGTGACTAACTGAAAAATGACATAAAATCCTAGGGATTACATTGCCCTTTGGATGTTATTTATATTTAAGGTGGAACTGTCAGAAGTAACACTATGAGGTTAATTTATAATACATTTGCGCAGCTTATAGCAATGCGAGTGACGTTTACAGAACATTATTGCCAACAGATGGAGCAGAGGAACATAGGAAATTCCAATGCTTCTCTGCTAAATCTAGTCACAGTATTGTGCTGTGAATGCCGTTTGCATCGCTATATGCTGTGAGAACATGTTATAAATCATCCCCTAAATGTATTATTAAAGTGGACCTTGCATAGTAAAAATAAAAAAAAAGCCTGTGGCGGAAAAGTTAGTAAATATATTTGCCTTACGCCGGCTTCTGCCCCCTGTTCCTAGGCAAGGGAGATGTCACCACACTTCTAGTGAGATCCCGTGGAATACTGCGTATTTCAAATCGCCTAATAAGACGCTCCTACATTGTGCTGGATGCACAGCGAAAAACCTTAATGTAAAAAAGTGTCAGCGTTGAGAATTTTCTCACAGTGCCCAGTGAAATTGAAATTTTGTTTGACATGTTTAAATGTGATAGGTGATACAAAAGCAAAGAGAAAGCTATATAACACATTTAAAACTCTGGCTGCAGGGGATTGCAGTGGCAGTCTGCTGTCTCTGATTTTTCTGTAGGTTAACGTATGTTGACCCACGGATCAGTGCCCCCCCTTCAAGTCACCCCCACAGCTGGGGGTGGCATCAGGGACTCCCTTTTCCCAGGGACAGACCCCTTGAAACAGGACAAACAGGAAAGAGCGACTGGGAAATGGGGACAAATAGTAACCATACATTTGGGGGACAACAGAGCTTACTTAAAGCTGGCCACACGCAGATGTCTATCATTTAGCTCAGTGGGCTAAATAAGAAAAATCAATACCCTAACAAGTCACTGCAGCTGTCTGGCAGAAGTTACTGATCTGCCAACAATTTTCCACCCAGCTCCTTTGATTTTTCAGTTGACGTTTGTCAAGCAGGTGGCGTCAACCACAGGAAACATTCTGGCTGATTCAGCAGAAAATGGCCAAAATGTAATCTATGTATGGCCAGCTTAACCATATCCAAAAAACCCCTCTGCGGACATCATCTTAAACAATGGTGCATCTAAGTCAATGTCACTTTTCATCCTGAAGCAAAGGGGATGTACGGTGGGAGGTAGGTGTAAAGAAGAGTTGTTGGAGGTTCAGAGTTATACATACAGCAGATGATGAAGTGGGCATGTTACCTGCAGATAACATTTTAAAGGTTGAAGATGTTATTTTGGAGCAGTGAAAATAAGTTTGCAAGCAGATAAAGTCATTTCAAAATTTACATACAATTTTGTAATGTATTAATTACAATACATCCTTTTAGATTCTATTATAGACAGATTACAGCAAGGATAACTTTGGTTTATCTTTCAGTGAAGCTGATATTTTCGCTGCCAAGTAACAAGACCTAAACATAGAGCTGACATTTGGGAAGATAGTATTATGTATAATTATATAGAAATGACAATTAATATGATGTGGTGCTTGGTTATAACAATGTTATGCTGGAGGAGACATGAAATAGACAAATGGCAACTGGAACTTTGCGAATATGACAGCAATGATTTGTGAAATTACACAGAATTGTGCTGAATGACAGAATGAAGTAATAATGATCCCTTTTCTCTGTCTAATATGTTCTTGTGTATAGTTTGTGTTTGTATAATGTGTGTGTGTGTGTATGTATATATATGTGTATATATATATATATATATATATATATACACACATTAGAGGTGCACGGAAATTGAATTTTTAGACCGAAACGAAAAAAAAATTGTCAGGCCAAAACCACAAACAATTTTTAATTTTTTTTCTAACTTTTTTAAAATATATATTTTTAATTTTATTCATTTGCTTTACTGACAGGGGCTTTGGGGAAATATTAGACCCCCTGATATTTCCCTTTTAAAATCGAAAAAGAGATTGAAGACACAGAGCCCTCTATCTCTTTTTCTGCAGCTCCCGTTATAAATGAACAGAAAGCCTCTATACTAAGTGCTCCTGTCCATTCATAAACTGTGAAGATAGTGTCAGTTACTATGTCCACAATCATGAATGAACAGGATGTGATGTAAAGCACTTCTTGTATATTTATAACTGGGGACACAGTAATCATACTATGTCCTTTATTATTTACAAACACTCAGCGATCAGCCTTCTGTGACACCGCTGACAGCTCTCTACTCCCTATTTACTTGTATGGCTTATGTGCGGTGAAGCCATTAGGTCAACACAATGCACAGGTGGGGTGCCTGTGGCCACATAACTTGACACATAATAATAAAAGCAAAAGAAACATAAATAATTTCTTTTGTTATTCTTATTATGTATTATTTTATATGGCCGCAGTTGGCGTGCCTATGAATTTTCTGGGCCTACCGCCTTCTCCGCACATGTGCAATACAGGCAAATAGCCTGTGAACATTCTAGACACGATCAGCTGTTCTGCCCTCATGCGTTCAGCCAACGCTGCCTGCAACTGCTGAGACCAGACTTCTAATGAAGTCCAGCAATCTGTTAGAACACCGGCTCGGCCTCCGGGGACAGCTGACAGCTGTCTCCCCTCTGCACTGCTCTTTATCCAGATTTGCTTGTTACAGGAGGCCCAGCTCTCCTCCCACACCGACCCGCTTGGCCTCCTGTGATAATGCTTGGCCTCCTGATAGTTTATCTTGCCCCTCTGAGCGCTGCCCTGTGTCCCCACCGATCCCTGTGGCCTCTGCCGACACAGGATGAGGGAGCAGCAGGGATCAGAGGTGACATAGAGCAGTGCCCAACGGGGAGGAGAGAAACACACACACATATACATATGTATATATGGAATTGACTAATTCCTGCTAATTTGATGTACTGTTCCAAGCTTACTAAGCCATTTCTATAAATAATCTTAGATAAAATAAATTGGTCTGCCATCTGTATGTTCTATAAATAGCCACTCCTGGCGCCATCCTCGGAATCAATGTTCTGTTTGGTTTAACACATTAAAAGAAGATTGAGTTTCCGTTTTTCTTTGTTAGGCTCTAGATGGCTTCCTCATTGCGCTTACCACTGATGGGATGATAATTTATGTTTCTGATAGTGTTTCATCTCTGCTTGGCCATTTACCGGTAAGTTATGTTCTCTTACAGTTTATCAGGATAGCGAATTGTGATGTATACATGCCATTTGAAATAGGACGATAACTCGCTTTTCTTTTGTTGATAATGATTTATTGTAATTTATTGTATTCCAGTTAAAAGTAAATGTCTAGTTACAGCATACTGGAGACTTTGCATTAAAAACACACACACACACACACACACACACACACACTCTATCTCTATATATTGAGGCCTTTACTCTGGGAACAGTATATAATCAACTTTAAAGTTAGATTAAACATTTCCTACTGTAAACCCTCGAAAGCAACCCTTGGGATGCAGTGCATATACCCTTTAAACTTTGTCTTTATGACCTTACGATCCCTGAAACAACTCATATCATAGCTCCCGGGTTTAGGAGGTCCTTGGAAGCTAAACATTGTTGTTAAAGGGTATGCGCAGACACCTGTAGATATTCTCACCACTATTTTAAATTTCTACAAAAATACATTCTAAAAGATTATTTGTGCTATATTATGGATTTTGCATAAACTACAGATTCTTACCATTGAATTTAACTGGTGTTTGCCTACAATAATTGGTATTATTTTTAGTGTTATTTCTTCTTGCCTATATTTAATTGCATAAAAAAACTATGTGATATTCATATTAAATAGAATTATTAGCGTCACAGTCACTGACAGTCACGATCAGTGGTATGTGATCGCTCAGTTCTCGATCAATAGAGCCAAAGTGTGACAGCTTCAATGTCTTATGTTTGCTCTAATTATGGGGATGTGTGTATTTCACTCTCCCCATATTATTTCCTTACTGTTTATCCTCACAGGTTTATATAAGAAAGACATCCTATGTAGCCTTTCTGGGCTTGCCATTTAGACTTTGGAATAGGAATATCTGCTACTGACAGGAGTCCATGGAGGTGTTCATTGAACACTCTATAAGAGGGTGAAAAACTTACCACAGTAACTGGCTTATGGGAATCCTATAGCTGTATAGATGTTTAAAGTTTACATTATGATAGCCCCATGGTCCTGCAAAGGTATTGACATATCTGCATCCATTTTTATTTTATATTTTGTCATCAACGTCATCTTGTTGTTAAATATATTTGTTTTCATCTTTTAAAAAAATTAGTCAATCAACATAATCTTTCTCTGAGTTGATTACATTTTTTGTGGGCCATTAACATAAAACTTTTAGAAACACTTATTTTGTATTCTGGGCTTCATTATGATTAACAAAGCCTGGAAACTTCAAAAGTGTCTGAAATAAAAATTCCTTCTATGTAAAATTGCATAATGAATGTAATCTGATTGAATTATATGGGGACGCCTGTAGATATCCTGCTGTCATGGGCACACAAGAATAATGAAGTCCCTATTGTAGAAGTTCAGCACCTTTTTTATGATGTTATTTTTGTAAAAACTGCCACAAGACTGCACTATTGGAGTCAACAAAGGTCTGTGTTTTATGCAGAGCTACTGCTCATCTGTATAGACCACAAGATTACAGAAAAGGAAAATCATCTCATGTTTGCCTTCTGACTCCCTTCACGCTCTAGTCCCCTTGTTGAATTCAGCCACCAATGTCCCACATTGGTCAGAAGAAGGATCCTAATTAAGGAAACATGTATCACAATTAACATTGTAAACTAACTGCCCCAGTCATTGGCATACAATTGCCAGGTGGAAAATAAAACACCAGATATGGGCAATAAAGAGAAAACTTAAATGTGAAATATTTGTGCAAATTAAGGCTACTATTTTACTGAACATGACAAAGCATACTTTTGTATCAGTCAGATTTAGTGGACCAAAATATATTGAATTTTCTGCCGGAGCGAGAACATGGTGAGGTGTACAAGTTGCTGGCACCACACATCCTCATGACAGAACCTCAAGAGTTTTTCAACAGTAAGTAACAACTCCTACTATGTTCAATAATATGCATGTGCTTAAGATCTAAGTGTTTTCTGGCTAACTATTATAAGTTTTGAGGCTGCAGGGTTTATGGTTTTTCTTGACACAATGTATATACTGTAGATTTACTGTGTATTGGTCTCTTAGAAGAAAAAGAACCAATGTAAAGAATTAAGCAAAAAAGTGTTTTGATCTGATAAACTGCTTCAAGAAGAGACATTCAAGGCCAGTTGTGCAACATCAGCTTGCAACGATGATTAAATATTTATTATAATACCGTATACTTAATACAACAAAATAATATTATTCATGTCAGGAAGTATATTTCAAAGAGTCCAATAAATAAGATGGTCATCTAAATTCCTCTATGTTTCCCTAGAGTTATTACTTTTATTACAAACATTGTTTAAATGCAATTGATACCAACAATGCATTGTTTCTGGGTCTGTACGATATATACATGGTGACCTAGAACAGTCTTAAGTACTAAAAGAAAACCCTTATTTTTATTAACTTCTTCCCTGAGCTATGTTTTTTTTTTCTTCTTATTCACATGTTAATTTTTAACATTTGCATTTTTTTCCTTCTCTAGCACTTGACTGAACATTTTCTTGGCACTAAATAATTTTAGTGCCTTTATAAAATTAAAATAAAATAGGAATATATTTCGCAGCTTCATTAGATTCTAGACTGAAAAAGAAATCTTGGTACTATATTATCAGTGAAATCTTGGCTCCCTTTCCCCATGTTCAGAATAACTAAATCACAGGAGATTAACCATGGTGCAAACTGTTGGCTGTCATTTCTGCAACCTGGGCTGGCTCAGTCACTGTTTGAGAAATATGCAAGGTCCATCCATCTCTCCTTTGGGATTGGGGTGGCATCTTCATCTCGAATACTAGAGGACCTGATGTTGCCACCAATCTGCAGAGTAACATTAACGTGTACAGTATATAAATGTAATGTATGGGTGTCAAAGGTGGGGGATTTCGGAAATACTTGTCAAAATAAAAACAAGCACAGAAGACACAAATTAATTGCCTTAATACTTTCACATTATTATCTTGTACTGTAAGATCAATACCTCTTCCCCACTTTACCTAAAACAGAAAATAAAAAGTTTTGGCAGTAGTTGGTCCTTAAGTTTGTCACTAGAGATTACCTACAGGAATAACTGCAGGCTCATTTCACAGCAAAGAGTACAATAATCATCTGCTAGTTACACAGAAAGAAGAATAGATTTTAGTGATAGGCAGCACCATGAAAACTGCTTGAAAAGATAATTCTCCTTTTACAATTGGACTTTAAATATAAATCTGTGCAATTAAGAAAGTAATACACATATAAAAACGTAGGTTTTGTTGTTGTGTCCTATTCATCACAGCAGTGTATTGAAGGATATGCACTAACAAGTGAAAGATCTTCGATTGGTTTGACTATGAAAATTCTGTAATATACAAAGTCATTTGAAAATGCATCTTGTGCCATTGTATGAAATTCACTGTCTTCGCCTGCTCAAAAAGGAAATTACAAAGTTACTTGATGGTTCATTTGTCAGCTTTTAGAAAACAAAGAGAATGGTTATACTGGACTGTTTATCCTGACACAATTGCTTAGAAAAGGATACAGCTCCTGCCAAGAGGTACCGCTACAGGCTATTCTCTGAGTAGGTTTAAGCATTCATCTTTTATTGCAAGATGCAGTCTGCTTCCTAAAATAATGTGAAGTTATTTTCATACATTGTGTTCTGAGCTGTAATAAAATATTTACTATGATTTTAGGGTTCCCTAACCCCTATTGATCTTAAAGCAGGAGAACTACAGACAACAGATAATGATGGGTCTTTGCTTTTGGAAATTAGCTATTTCCAATATTAGTAACCATACCAGTGTTCAGGGGTATCCGGGGTCTTCTTTAGCAAACTGGCGCATTAATAAAAGTGTGTCCCATGCCTAATAATGTGTTTTGGATGAACTTAGGGCCCCTTCACACCTATGTGCTTATATCTGTGCATTTTGTAGTGTGCTGACACACCTTGGGGTCGATTTACTAAAGGCAAACAGGCTGTTCACTTTTCAAGAGAATTTTCCATTAGCTTAGTGAATGAGGTGAAGCTCTACTGACTTCCATCATCCAATCACGTGCAAGCAAAAATACTGTTTTTTTTTTATTTTTCTTGCATGTGATTAGGTATCCTTATCAAAGTTAATTTTCACCACATTCACTAATCTAAGGGGACATTCCCTTGCAAAGTGAACATCTTGTTTGCCTCTAGTAAATCAACCTCTTCGTGATAAAGCAGCTTGTTCACCTTGAGTAAGCCTCAATGCATGAAAAAAAAAAAAAAACCTGCACTATTTTTGGCCCACGTAGCACACCCCAATTCACGGTCATTCACATTGTTGTGGTGTGCTGAAGAACCGGTGTGTTTGTGTTAGGTTGCCATAATACATGGCAACATACATAGAACATTTGTTGTTTTTGGTTGCCTTACCCACATCATAATGGGTTTCGACGCACATATGAACATGTGCACGTGGTGTGAATGGACCCTTAAAGAGTACAATAGCTGCAGCTTTGAAGCAGCAGTCCTTCTAGGTAATGGGAGTTTTAGTCCTCTTACTGTAATTAGAAAAACAATTGAGGACATCAGCTTGATGTAGGTAATCTTACTGCTCATTTTAACAGTGCTAGTCTGACTCATTGAAAACAATGCACTCCATTTGGCTGATAGCTTATCTCAACAGTTGTTAAAGTGTATCTGAGCCGGAAAAAAACAAATTTAATAATTTGCAGCTTACCAATCCTTAAAGGTGGTGGCTGCATTAGTCCTCTTATTACAAGCTTTTTTTAATTTATTTTCACCTGGTGATCAATTCAGTAACACATTTCCTGTCTTAGCGTGGTTCTACTCTATGGAGGAGCAATAGTCACCCTAGGACAGCAGCATTTTTTAATCTGTGGATCGGGTAGTATGAGAAGTACTAGCATATTTAGGTTGACTTGACTGACAAATAAAAGTTTTTTTCCCCCTGTTGGGATAAAGGTTTTACAAAAATAAAGGAAAGCTGACCATTGTGAGCATTCCTGTCAGTATTAAATGATTTGTGTCAACCCTCTGTCTGCCACTTTTGCTGGACAGCTTTGCCTGTTAAGCGAAATTGAATAATGACAGACTAAGTGGCCGAATCACTAGGTGAAATAATAGGGGGGGGAAAGCCTAAAAAAAGAAAATGAATGCAGCCATCACATTTAAGGTTTGGTAAGGAACAATATATTCAAATTATGCTTTTGGGTTCAGATAAGCAGAAAGTGTAATTGCACTAAACCATCAGGTGATGAAGAGATTTCTATATTTAAAACAAAAACAAAATGTGCTGGGGCAAGCTTTGAAAATGTGAAATGCATATCAAAATCCAATTTAAAGTAAAAGCAGCAACATGCTTGCACTGAAAATACACTATACATTCTCTTTTATTGAAGATTAAACCTGTAGTATATTACCCAATCTTTTTTTTTTTTCCAGATGAAAAACAATTGGAGTTTTGCTGTCATTTAGCAAGAGGAAGTCTTGACCCAAATGAACCTCCCACTTATGAATATGTAAAATTTGTTGTAGATTTTAAGTTTTTTACACATGGTGAGTATTTTTAATTTCTTTAAAATTCTTCAATATTTAATGAAAGTGATAGGATAATATTCCACATTTAGTGAACCATAAGCATACAGGCTAACTGTAGACCTGTGTCAGTCAGTTGTTGTTAAAGAGACTTAGAAGCCTAATAAAAAATGTCATAAAGGCAGGCTGTAAAAAAACAATAACAATAGTTACTATTGTTGCCGCCGGTGACTTTATTCTTCACTCTTATGCAGAGCTACACCAACCTCTGGGAACCAACAGTGCCATCATTTACATGCAGTCTACTGAAATATAGTTTTTCTTAAAGTGTAACTCGAGTTAAAACTGCCAAAACTTTTTTTGCTTTAAGCAGAGTAGGAAAAGGTTACCACCCCCATGGAGGAGATTTCCCTGCAATTTTCGTTACAGAAACACAACAGAAAGTCAAGGAAAATGTTCCCAAAATGTGCAAAACGGCAGGAAAATGTCACTTTCGGCATTTAGCCGAAAGTGCCATTTTCGGCCGGCACCCCCCCTTCACTTTTCGCCCGGGGCCCGCGCCCCTGCTGCACCCCCGGTTGTTACGCCACTGCACTGGAACAGTAGTTGTGATTAGAGGATATCCATTCTACTCATCTCTGTCCTGGTGACATCGGTAAAATGTTTGACAACCATAACTTTCTCTTCCAGGGAAAATGTTACCTGGGATAGATAGTGAGGTAAGATCTCCTCAAAGAGACACAGAAAGCTTTAAAATTGACAAAGGTTTTAACTCCGCATCACTCTGTCCAAAGCCAGAAATAACAGTGGAGATTCAATGAAGGCTTTGTGACAAAGTTCTGGCATTATGTTTGTATCTAGAACTTTTGCGCCAAATTCATAAAAGTTTTGCTAGTTCCATAGTTAATACCAATACAAGCATGTGCAACAAATTCACAAAGTTCTTATTTGCAACATTTTCCTGAATTATCGCTAACTGTGGCTGGCTGTGAAGAAAAAATTAGCAAATAAAAAAATTAGAATTAAAATAACTGGGGGTAATTAAGACTACTTTAATGTTGGAGTAAACAGGGTTCTCTCCCCCCCCCCCCCCCCCTCCCAACTCCCTTATTACTGGTTGCTAAGATGCTGTTGGCCCATAGCATCATTGGTTGCTAGGACACTGTCGGCTGCACATCGCCTTTAGTTGCTAGGATTGAGTCAAACACATGGCAAGAAATCAACCAATGATTCTGTGCAGCAGTGTCTGCACCACTCTTTATGAATTACATGGAACATGTTTAGTGGAAGACACTGATCGGACCAGGCCAGAATAAGTATTTCTCTTGAGCCTCAGATTTGGCAATCTGAACCTGCCTTTTTTTTAATTAGGCTTAACAAATTTACTGTATGGATTAGTGTTATTAGGGAATAACATAAATGCTTCCTTATTCCTGCAATACACCTCATCTGCTTCTGTGATTCGATTGGTCAGTTTCTAATTTACCCGATTGTACGCATTGTGTATACAGTAAAATCCATGTGCGGTCATCCCTATACTACTGACACGCAAGCAATACATGCTGGTATCTTACCTGATTGTACATATTGTGTATACAGTAAAAATCCATGTGCAGTCATCCCTATACTACTGACACACAAGCAATACATGCTGGTACCTGTATGGCTTACAGTCTGCAAGAGATTGGGTCTACTACCATGCAGAGCAGCAATGAGGATTACTTTTGTGGTACTGGACCATGTCATGTTATCCTTCAAGGTTCCAATGATCTAGACTATAAGCTCTGTTTGGTCAGCTACCGTAGATTAGTAATCCAATAGAAAAAACCTGCTATATATCCTATTGCATGGATGAACTGAGGGCCTCAGAGAACGTGACCTGAAAAATCAATAAAAAAAAAAAAACTTGATCCATAAAATATCTATCTGATCTACTTACAACTCATGTTCCACACACCTATAGGTTTGGAAAACAATCTCCTTATTTCTTGTGTACATAGTATCCAACATCATTATGTAGGTTGGCTTACTCCACCCACATTTGGGCATAATTGTGGTAAACAAAATGTGTGACGGCAGCTTTGCAACCTTTTATAAAATGTTATGAATTTTTATTCTTACAATCAACTTTGCATTTGTGATGATTACAAGCTTCTATAATATTGAAACACAATACATGTGTTAATTAGATGCTGAACATTGTAACCATGACTAATGTCACTATTTCTAATGTCATTGTGACTAATTCAGCCATTGTACTAATTTGACAAGAGTCGAAAACATGTCATTATGAAAACATGACTGTGAAGCTTCTCTGTTAGAGGGCTTATTTGGGCCTTCAACTCTTTCAGGATTGTGGGGTTGAGTTGGTAAATTACCAACAGACAGTGAAACAGCATCTGCTCAATGCATTGCTACTGCCAACAATACTTACATTATCATCTGTATACATTATAATCTATGTAATTTGAAAAACACCTGTTTACATTCACTTTTAATGAAAAATGAGTGTTGTGCACATACCACCATTCAGATTATTATGGTAAATAAAAGCAAGTATCTGGTTGAAAGGCTTTCCTCTGCACTTTAAATATCAACCTGTTGGTCTGCTGGATGCCTAAATATACCTTTTCATCAAAATGGCTCCATGATGACAAAGAGACATCTCAGCTGGAGGTTCCAATCTTCCTTGTACACTGTGCACAGACACACAGAAACACACATTAAAGGCTTTATTATGTTTTTGGCTTTAGGGTGGACATGGTAGTTGAGCTTACCAAACTGATTTCTCTGTGAAAAAAGGTTTTGGCTTTAATCATGGAAGCTTGACTGCCATGTATGCCATTTACATGCAGTTTCATAAAACGCAGATATGCCTTTTGGCCACTGTTACCCTTTTTTTTTTTTTGTGGCCAAATGCGATTTTAGTGTCTGACACCTATATAACTAACACATGGATTAGAATGCACACACATGGTTTGCAGAAAGTTAGTCATATTACATTGTTTCTGTTTTATGTGTGTAGGTACAATATGTGTTAGCCATGTTAAAAGCATGCTATGAAATATGTTCATCTGAACTGCTGACAGCAGGAGCGCTGCACTCTGAGCAGAATAAAACATCTTTAACATTTGCTGATGTGGGGACCTGTCCAATTTATTACAGTGCCTACATCTTCATTTAATGGTTTTGAGTCAGCTGTTGCAAGGGCATTCCGGTCAGCCAGCGAAGAACAGATATGTCTTGTAGCCACAGTAAGACTTGTCACTCCACAATTTCTCAAGGTGAGTGCAGCCACTTTTTCAACAGTATGGTTTGCTTACTACTTCCTATAACTAATCAATAGTGTACACATTTAAATAAATTATTGATAATCCTTTATTATATCGTTTGTCATTTCTACTTTCAAAACCAAATGTGCAAATCAGCCTCCTCGTGTTTCTTCCCCACTGTCCAGTACACAGATTAGTCTTTCCCTAGTGAGATCCCACCCCCAGCACACACACATTGGTCTCTCCTCCAGCACACAATCTCTGGTTTCCTTTCTAGAGACTCCTCAGTTTACAGTCCCACACAACCACCATACAATTGTACATTGAACACTGTGCTCCCAAAACACATTGTAGTCTGGAGATTCGGCACTCAGAGTGAAACTCAGTTCAGCAGAAGCCTCTGCCCCCTTCCTCCTCTGCAATAGCAGCTTTCTCCTTGCTTCTTAAAGTGTAGTCCAGGATTGTGTTGCTTGTGTTAGGACACACATTGCTATCTCATGTGTATCCTGCCCTTGTACAAACACATTACTCCCCTCCTGCGCATACTGCCCCCTGACATACCCTCCACAGTCTTCTCCTGCAGATGCTGCCTGCTGTCATACCGTCCACACTTCTCTCCTCTACATATTGTCCCCTGTCATACCCTCTACAGTCTGCTCCTGCACATACTGCCTCCTGTCATACTTGCCACACTCCTCTCCGGCACATACTGCCTGCTGTGATACCCTCCACACTTCTCTCCTGCACATACTGTCCCCTGTCATACCCTCCACACTCCCCTCCTGTGCATACTACCCCATGTCATACTCGCCACACTTCTCTCCTGTACATACTGCCTGCTGTCATACCCTCCTCACTCCTCTCTTGCACCTACTCCCAGCAGTCATACACTTTACACTCCTCTCCAACACATACTGCCCTCTGTCATACCTTCCACGCTCCTCTCCAGGACATACTGCACTCAGTCTTACCCTCCACACTCGTGTTATGCACATACTGGCTGATGACATACCCTCTGCACTCCTCTCCTACATATACTGCCCACCAAGACACTTCTTTATCATTATTTTTTATCTTCCCAACCTTTCCTGTTCTGGAACAGGCACACTTTTGCTAATAATTATAATTAGTATTATTATTATTTGGTTTTATTTATGTAGACATAATGCTGAAAGCTTGAGATATTAAAATTGTGTTGCTTGTAGCTTCTATTACTTCTAGTACTACAAATTGAACCCCAATTCCCAAAAAGTTGTGACGCTGTGCAAAATCTACATTAACACAGAGTGCAATAATTTGCAAATCTCATAAACCCGTATTTTATTCACAACAGAAAACATATCAAATGTTTAAACTGAGAAAATTTACTATTTAAAAAAAAATTGAAATTGATGTCAGCAACACAACTCCAAAAAGTTGGGACAGGCCATGTTTACCACGGTGTAGCATCTCATCTTCTTTTAACAATGCTCTGTAAATGTCTGGTAACTCAGGAGATCGGTTGCTGGAGTTTTGGGAGAGTATTGTTGTCTTATTCTTGCCTGATATAGGATTCTAACTGCTCAACAGTCTGGGTCATCTTTGTCGTATTTTTTGTTTCAAAATGCACTAGAAATGTTCAATTGGTGAAAAGTCTGGCCTGTTAAGCACCTGGATTCTTCCACTACGAAGCTATGCGGTTGTCATAGATACAGTATGCGGTTTAGCATTGTCATGCTGCAATATGAAAGGCCTTCCCTGAAAAAGACGTTGTTGGGATGGGAGCATATGCTGCTCTGAAACCTGGCTATATCTTTCAGCATTGATGGTGCCATTCCAGATGTGCAAGCTGCCCATTCCATACACACTAATGCACCCCTATACCATCAGAGATGCAGCTTTTGATCTAAGTGCTAATAACATGCTGGAAGGTCCCCCTCCTCTTTGGTCCGGAGGATGCGGAAACCATGGTTGCCAAAAAGAATGTAAACTTTTGCACTTTGCGACAGCCCATTTTAAATGTGCTTTGGCCCAGAGAGGATGGCGGCATTTTCACAGATTGGTGAACCTCTGCCCATCTTACTTTTGAGATACCATAGCTTTCTAAGATGCTCTTTTTATACCCAATCATGTTACTGACCTGTTGCCAATTAACCAAATAAGTTGCACAATGTTTTTCCACCTCTTCCTTGTTAGTACCACTTACTTTGACAGCTTTTTGTTGCACTGTCCCAACTTTTTTGAGACGTGTTGCCGCCATTAATTTAAAAATTACCGTACATTTTTTCTTAAAATTGTAAATTTTCTCAGTTTGAACATTTGATATGTTTTCTATTTTCTATTGTGAATTTATGAGATTTGCAAATCATTTTCTATTGTGAATTTATGAGATTTGCAAATCATTGCATTCTGTTTTTATGTAGAGTTTACACAGCATCCCAACTTTACTGGAATTGGGTTTTAATTTTTAAGCTTAAACCAAAAAAAATCTCAGATTTAATCGGTTTCTTATATTAGGGGCATTTCCTCCCCTCCTTCACTTTCCTTTCCTGTAGCTTCAAAGTATATTTAAAGCCAATTTTTTTTTTGTTTGTCTTGGATAGAGTGTAGAAGTGTTGTAACTTCTGTCGAGTTTTTATTACTGTCTGTGCCCCCACTGGGATGTTATACCTTCTCCAATTGTCTTGGTGACCATTAACACCGGGACAGAAATTGATGGGAAATTCAATTTTACGGTTGTTAGAGGGTTTTTTTTCTTCACATAGAAGAGATTGCTTCTTACTTGACAGGAATTGACCTATTCTATCCACAACTTGAAAACAAATTTTGGCTTTAGATATACTCATTCCCTGTGTTTCAGCTTCTATAGTAATACTGGTAACACACGTACATAGTTACTAATATAAATAATTACACTGGCTATATCTATTGCTGATTTTATTATATTGCTGGGCAGAGATGTGTCTTCAATCTCCTGGGTACATGTCAATCTTCTCAATAGTTGTAATTGGTCTAAAGTGCTGATCTTGGCATGCTGCAATTGAAGCCATGTGGTTGATGCTTAATCTATATGTTTAACCCTGAACTCTTAAAAAGTGTTACCATGGAGTGCCTTAAATATCACTATGAATTCTGAAGACCTATGGTTACAGTTACCTATATAATTTTATTGTATGTATGCAGGAACTGTGTAATGTTGAGGAGCCCTGTGAAGAATTCACGTCAAGACACAGTTTAGAGTGGAAATTTCTATTTTTAGACCACAGGTAAATGATCCCTTATCTTTTATATATTTGTGCTTATGAGTTATGTTTACATGGGACATTAGGATGAAATTTTAGCAAATATAAATTGCATGTTTACAGCATTCTTTCTGTTAAGTTGTAATGTCAAAACGCAAGTGGTGGCAGAGTTGGCAGATCCAACGATATCATAGGTGCTATAATTATTGAAGGAATGTAATGGGATCCCGGTTCATTTTACAAATTAACAACTCATATTTTACTATTCTGAAATCAGATTGATTGCACTACTATCCATTCAGACAGCATCTCCCAGTGCGATTCATCTACAGACACTGCTGGGAATGCTGACATTATATGTAGCAGTCTGCCTGTGTTTAAACCTCAAGCTGTGTGCAATCATGTGGGAGTGGAAGTGTGCCAATTACAGGCATAGAGGCAGATGATTTTGGGAAACCTTATCTACACGTCGCTATGATTGGAAGAAATTAAATTGGATTTAGATTGAACGGAAAGGTCATTTGAAAGCCCAATTCCACCCTGTCAATTTTTATTGCAGCCTGGGGCCTTGTAGGGGGAAATTTTACCTCTCTTCCTGTCCCAGTAACCATGCTGTCACCATGATAAGAACAGAAGGAAAATCTCCAACTCTTACTGTACTGCTAGCGCAGAAAGCGTCAATGGATTTTGTTGATCACTTTACTTCTAGGCTAATTGATTGTTTGCACTTGGTAATGGGCATTTTTTATTCTGATTTGGAAGGAGTTACATATCATTGGTTTCTTTATCTGTTATTGCTTGTGTTTGTCTTTAGTCACACTTGCCCTGATTAAGGTATTCTTGTGTGGCTCCTAAATGTAGCATTTGTCTGTTGTGATAAAATAAAAGCTGTTTTCTTACCATATTGGAGTACTACATAAATCTACAATAGGGAATGGGAACACAGCACTTAAAAAGTATGGTAAAGGAAGTAGATAGCACTACTTAGATTGTTCTTTTAATTCACAAACAGGGTGATACATGTATCTGTAAAAAATAAGTCAAGGCAACTGGACTTGCTGTATTTTTCTTTGGAAAGAAAAACACAGCAAGTCCAGTTGCTTTGACTTATTTTTTACAGATATACCATGACCTGGATGAATGAGAACCTTCACAGGCATAGGGTGATGCATGGTAAAACCGCCCCTTTAACAAGGCTTTAAAAACTGACTATATAAAGAGGACTGAACTTTGTGCTCATTACGAGAATAAGTACACTGGCTGTTCTAAATTTAGAGCAAACAATGTGCTAGCAGATGCTGTGTGTTCTAAATTTAGAACAATCAGTGAACATATTCTCCTAATGAGTCCAGTCTGCTTTTATAAGCAGCATTTAAAACCTTGATGAAGAAGAACTGTTTTTACCCCCTGAAATGTGTTGGATGTTTTCTTCTGTAACTCCTTGCTATTGCAATGCCCTTAGTGTAAAAGAGTCACTTAACCAGAGCCAGTGGGCTCCACTGACTAGATATGGCCAATGAATATCGGACTCTAATTACCCAACATCCAGCACCTTGTATCTAGACATTTTGACTAGCAGTTAAAAGTTGACAGATGTTCTAGTTTGCCCCTAATTAAAATTAAAAAATGTTTTTATTGCTGAGTGTTTCCCTGTTGAAGATTTCCGCTTCCTTCCTGTTTTTGTTCCTGGGAGGGGAAATAACAGCGCTGTGATCATCTGGTTTCTCCTGTAAGATGATTTTAACATAAAAATATTATTTAACCTTTTCAATGCCAGGAATGCAGAACAACCAGCTAAACCAAGTTTAATAATATCTTGGAATTTCCCAAGAGTTCTGACGTGCCTAACATTTTTAACTTTTTACTATACTACAGTTGTTGCTAGGCCCATCCAAAATATTTAAGAATATATATTATATTAAACTTTTCCAGTACATTATTACATCATTAAACCACTCAACACAATATATACAATGTATATCCCTCTTTAAACCCCTCTTTCCAACCTCTACATATCATTTTAAATATGCATCATCAAATAGGCCAACTGTTAGATTTACTCTCCATCTTGCTCCGGGTTGGACCTGGAAAACCAGGGTCCACAATTTTACACGCTAGGTCTTAAATATCTCCAAAAACCCTTGGGTGACCTTGTACCATAGACCTATCCCCAGCCTCACCAACTATGAATTCCTATTTATTACCACCAGACAAACGATTGCTAAGGCCTGGAAACAAACATAAGTACCGTACTTGATATGTTTTCAGCTCCAAGACTAGATTAGAGCAAAAATTAGTGGATGAGAGTGTGTTAATGAGAGTGACAAAATAAGTTTGTTTGTCAGCACGGAGGGAGGAGTTATATTTTATCAGGGCAGCTTTGTACAGGGTAAAGTCTTGCAGAGACCTAGTTCTCCGCCACAGTCGCTCAAGAGCGCGGCTTTGTCTTTTTTGATGTTTGGTAACTTCACTTTGCCACGGTTGTAGCAGGCGTGGTCTAAGTCTGCGCGTGTTATATATATATATAATTACATAATCCTCCTGTAGATGAAATTACTGGCTAGTTGAGGGGTTTAGTCTTTGGTTTGGGATTAGCACAGAGATCAAATCTGTGATTTACCTGCATAAACCAGAGAAGGGGAAGGGTCATCAGTTCATAGCCTATATCAAAAGATAGATATACATAGATATACATTTAATATAAAGCTTTTTATAGAATTGGAGACCTATGCTGAGAAGATAGACTACTGTTGCTGACGTCTTCTGAAAATGCTGATCGCCTGTCTGTCTCTGATTTTAATTTCTGACCTGGAGCAAGTATGCAGCAAGTGAAGTAAGAACAATAGATCTGCATACCTGTTCCAGGTCAGTAATGCATAAATGTATTAAAGTAACTGGATTAGCATGACAACCAGGAAGCTAACATTTTCAGAATAAAGGCTAAACCCCTTGCAGCCCACACGTTGTTTGGGGATTTCTAGCTGAGTGAAATAGGGGAATCGAACAACATTGGGGCACCTGCAAACTTCTAATAAATACAGGTGAGATTATTGTTGCTCAGATGGGCTTGCCGATATTTGTCCATAAAGAATACCTGTCATGAGAGGAATGTGTAGTCTGCCATTGCTAACCCCTGATTATGAAAATTCGGGTTTACTGGCTGACCTGCTGACATTCTTGTTCTACTATGTTGAGTCACTGCAGTGGAACATGTATACAGAGAAAGGCTTCATTCTGAGTTTCTTAACATGCGTAACTGTTCCAGGGCAATGATTCAGAACATTATGAAGATAATTCTTCAGCATAAAAGCCAGGCAACCAGTGGTTTGGTCAGTAATGGCAGCCCCTGTATTTCTCTCATGACAGGTTTACTTTAAGTTAAAAAAAGAACCCCGAGTAGAATCAAACATAACCCTTGCAGTGGCACTCCCCTCACACTGCAAGGGCTAAATGCTCGTTTTCATCTAGGATCTAAAAAAACAAATATATTCTCACCAGAACCTTGATCCTGCCTGACTGCTAGACTGGTCCCTTCAGCCTCGTTCCCTTTCTGCTCCCATAATGGAATGTCCCTCGGCATATTAGTCATGATGATTCACAGATCCTTAGATCACCAGGGTCTGGGGAAGAATTGGCTGCAGGCAGTGGTCTAGCAGCCTGGTGGGATGGGTGTTCGGGTGAGTATATCTATATATGTTATTTTAGACCCTAGGCAAAAACAAACACTTAGCCCTCGCAGTGCACAGGTAGCCCCACTGCAAGGGTTACATTTTATTTTTTACCAGAGGTCTTCTTTAAACATGCATCTCTTGGTATAATTTTAACCCTTAGCTATTTATGTTACCCAAGGATCCCCCTTTACCAAAACACATATTCAAGCTAGCCATTTAAATTCAGAAACATAGGCTTTGGTGATAGGATGTAGCAGGAGGCAGTCTGCAGCAGCTGATTTTATATATCTTACTCATTGAGTTAGAAGATGTTCAGAATGTCTCATCGTGGCAGGCCTGGGCTGGTTGATTGATATCTCTGGAATATGACTGAAGAAGGGCTATTGTATTCAAAGTCCAACTCCAGCTAAAACATTTCATTTTGTATAGACTGCAGACGGGATAGTGCTTCAGGAATTGGGGGAAATCTCTCCAATGGGGACAAAGTATGAAAAAAAAGCACATTTTTAGTAGCGTGACGGTTAAAACTTCTGACAATGCTTTTCTTGCTGTTCCAGCCTTACTGTTCCAGGGACAACCCGCATTTCCCACTTCTACGTTAGTCACAGGGACATGAGGGAAAAACTCTCCTGACATAAATGTTACCTGTTTCCCACTAAATAGCATTTTAGGTAGATTTGGCATTCAGGTGTATTTATGGGCTAAATCAACAGGTTTTAATAATACAGCAAAGCTATACTGCTTATCCATCCACCCATGTGTATTGAGTTTGGCATCAGTATAAATGCACAATCATAGCTGCTCCATTTGATCAGATATTTTTGGTCTTGTACTCATAGGAATACTGTTATGCTTTACATGCAAGGGTTGACATCTATTGCCTGTGCTGCACTGGGTCCAGGATATGTGCATTGTGCTAAGAAGTATATAGTTGAACAGGAAGAGAGGTAGTATTTGTTGAACAGTGGGCTATTAACATGCATTACCTTACAAGAAAAAGGGGAACTATAAAAAAGACCATTAGGATTACACTGGAACTGAGATGTCAAGGTCATTTGCTGTGTTTTCTCAAAACTGTGAACATGTGCATACCTGGAATTTGCATATTTACCTCTATTGTTGTTGCAGTATTTGCTTTTAAACACACCAATGTTCTACTGTAATCAAAATGTATAGCCCCGGTGCCCAACCTGTAGCCCAGGGGCCACAGGCAGCCCTTTGGCACTTATTGTGTGGTCCTCAGGGTCTCTGCAGAACGTAGTCTGTGTTTTCCTTACCTAGGTGCATACTCAAGCCAGTGAAGGTAAAATATTATTTAGACTGGCATCTAGTAGTTGAATGGATTGTTTTTTTATTTCATACTATCTTACTTTTTCTGAGTTGTCCATCCCTTTTCTCTTTTCATGTATTTTTTTTTCACTTGGATCTGGTATTGCTGAGGGAAACATCAAATGTAGCAGAAGTCATTTGTAAGAGAGCGGTAGGGTGCACAAAGCACTGATTTGTAAAGGGGCAGTCATCTGTCACAGTTTCATGGAATTTTTTTTTCAACCTGTGATCGTCTTCTGAAACATATCCCTGGCCAATGAATGTCATCTAAACCATGTTCCAGTCTCCTGCAGCAGTCTCTGACAATTTCATGTAGCATGCCTATAATCTTTGACTATCTCATTTTGCATGTCTACAGTGTCTGGCAGCTTTCTGTAGAATAACCTGAATATTATGTGCGAAGATCTGGGGACATCAGTGGCTCACATTACAGACCCTCTATATCATGAGAGTTGACCACCATTGCTTTATAGTTTTGTAAACAAGCTAAGGTCACAGCCTGAAGCCTTCAGAAGAAACATCAGAGAGTTCTCTATGAATATGAATCAATAGCCCCTGAACTTTTCATCCTAAAATCAGCGCTTTTGAAATGGACGTCATGCTGGTTTATAAATATGCCAATTCCATTATAAATTCAGTGTTTACTTTGTGTTTTTTTAGTTAATGCAACATATACCCATTTCCTAACTTATTCTATTGCCCACACCCCTGCCCAAATATCCTATACTGTAGGTTCAGTGTAACCCTGGTCTCCACATTCTACAGTAGTGCCAGAATCTGCTATGGCAAAGGCAGCCCATCTATGTTAGATTACTGAGGAGAGGCAGTGTGTGAACTAGTTTGGGTTTACTAATGATTTTAGGTCCACTCTAACACTGCTGGTCATTAAGATGTGCTTGCTATGTAATACCTACTCCCAGATTGACCCCCCTCTACGAACAAACCCTTAAATCATAAAAATGTATTATTTTGACTCTGCCAACAGAAATGTCCCAGATAGATGTCATAGCATTTAACTGGCTTTTATCTCTAGCTGTATACTCTATTGAATTACTATTTTTATTTATTAACAGAGCAGCAAAGTCAACCTGTTATTTTGCAGCAGAAACATAGACATTATGCCCTACCATTTTGTATATGTGTGTTATCTGGGCAGAAGTTTAGATGAAAAGGTGGAGAGTTAAGAGTAGATTTTAGTGATGTTAAAACTGTCAAACCTAGTTTTCCCACAACCTAACCTCCGAGTGCTATGGTGGCAGGAAAATAGGATGGAAGCACTAAGGACCATATTCTGCCTGACACGTTGATTACACTTTTAAAGCACAAGCTGTTTCAACACTTTTTAAAAAATGTGCTTTTTTAACAAATACAGGGCTACCAAACAGTGTTGTAAATATAACCTATTACCTCTTTTTCCTGTTGAAAGCTATGAGTGTAAACAGTACTGTGTATACATTCAGAAGCTGCACTTTATTGAGAAAGCTAGTCAGATGACCAGCATAACATCTTCAAGAAAAATACAGCAGGTCCAGTTGCCTTGATTTATTTTTTAAAGATAGCTATGTAGCAGTGCACTCAAACATTCATCAAAGATCACAAACTGCTAGAAGCAGGCAGCTCTTGCAAGAATTTAGCTACTGAGTAGAGGACACATGTCTGTAAACTAGGACTGGCTTTCTAAAAACCATTTGTTTGAGAATTGCCAGGGTTTATCTAAATGTATGCAGGAGCTGTCTGCTTCTAGCAGTTTGTGGTCTTCACAGATCAAATGAATGCATCACAGCACAAAAATCATAATTTTTGGAACTTAGTTGGGAATATATGTAATCAATCGGCTATGGAAGCAAATGCCTGGATTGTTTTAAGCCCTTGACTACAGTTACAGTGCAGATGCAGAGAAGCTGAATATAAAAAGAGCAGTGCTTGCACTGGGCTAGCCTGTGCTGACAGCCCCAAGGCACAGAGAAAGAAAAGGCAGAGGTAAATGTTTATATTTATATTCACCTAATTAGTTTTTTTCCCCTCTTCATTCTTCTTTACTGCATTATGTTTAGTAACATGCTTTAAAGGTGTATTTTGAATTACCTGATGGTTTATCCAATCATATGTTAAATCCTAAAACGTTCTATAAAGTTGTACAGAAGTCTGCTTTACATGCTATCATTCCCTGTGACAATTAGGCCCTCTGTAGCATTGACGTTTTGGTCACTGTTTGTTCGACATGCAGTTCAGACAAAGCAGTATTTGCTCTTCTTTCATTGCCCACAAGTTTAGTAGAGGATACATCTTACCAGTCATGTTATCCTTTCACATCAGCAATAAATTACTATTGATGCTCGGGCACTTCTATAGTTATAGGAAAGCTTATGCTAGAAGTCAAGTTATTTGGTTTATGCATGAAATATATAGTTTATGTATTGCAATATATAATCGGTCATTTTAATGCATTATAATGA